AAATAAAATAATAAAAGAAAATAATAAAAGTTTTAGTTTAAATTTTTTTCATGAAAATTTTAAATTCCTTGTGTCATGTAAAAGTTTGACATAATATTTTTTACCATTTTAACATCAGCTTTGAATTCATTCTTGTCAAATCGGAGAATACAAATTTACGGAGGATCTATTATTACAAGAAAGAGCAATAATAATGCAAAACAAACAGAGACTATTTATTTATCTAAATGATTTTGATAGCTTTCCACTAGATTTTGCCGAACCACAAGTAAACTTGAGAATGGAATACTCGAAAATTTTTATGAATGCCATAAACAACATCCATAAAAGAAAAAAAAGAGCGGATACGGAAAGTATTTACGAAGAAGTATTGAAATATTAATATACTTTTATCAAAAAACCTTTAAAGTTGCTCAATAAAAAATGGTAAGGAATCGTATAAAGTATTTATAGCTCCTGAAACAAAACCAGAATTTGATCTTTGTTTAATTAATCACCAAAAAATTAAAACCTTAGAATCTGAAATTAAAATTTTGAATTACGAATTAAAAAACTTAAAAAGCAATGAAATTAGTCTTTCAATTTTAAAAGGTAAAAATATTTATTTCTAAAAGAGGAATTATCGGAGTTCAGGAAAATTATTGCTGTTTTAATCGATAAGCTAGAAGTCAAATCAACTGTGACTGATTTAAAATCAACTTAAAACGTAAACTTTTTAAACGTAATTGATTTTAGTTTCTCATTAAACCAAAACTCAATTAATTCAGCAAAAGCTGAAACCATTAAATTCACCAAAAGCTGAAACCATTTTATAACCGCAAAAAAAAATTATAATATATCTATACTAGGCTTATATTTTATAATTTTCTTTTATTATAAACTTTTGTATTTATTCATTTGTCATGTATGATGTAGCATAAACAACTTCCTTTTTTAATATTTATATCTGGTGTACCGCTGTTATATATAGGAAATAAAATATCATTAACAGATTCTGTAACTATATTATTTGTTAAATATAAATAATATAGATAAATAAGGCTTATATTCTTTTGCTAATGCAACTAATACAAATCCTGCTGTCATTGTTATTCCACACCTTAAAGAAACATACTTGTATGAATTTGGCTTTATTGTAAAATATTGTTGTGAAAATATTTTATATTTATCATAAATATAAATTGGATGATAAGCTAAACTTTCGTTATATATTAAATCTATCTTTTCACTATTTTTAATATTTAAATACATTTTATTCATTTTATATAAAGAATTTTTTTGTTTATGTCACTTATATATTATTGTTTTTTAAAATGGCATAAATAATTTTCTTGCATATATAAAAATTTCATATGTAAAAATTGAAAATTTTGATGACACAAAATACTGTGCTGATGAAGTATTTAGTTTTTATAACCCTGTTCATTATCAAAAAATGAGCATTGGTTATAAAAACAAAACAGTTTTAATAGTAAAAACACCATAATTATTTTCATATGGAGTTTGTGAAAATAGAGATCCAAAATGAATAAACTTACTGGATATTCAATTCCACTTGTTTGCTTTAATAAAATGAAAGGAAAGACTGAAGAGGAAGAAAAATTTATTGTAATGTTTCAATCTATTGAGAATTTTTGTAGAAATAAAGTTAAAGAAAGGCTGAAGAGGAAGAAAAATTTATTGTAATGTTTCAATCTATTGAGAATTTTTGTAGAAATAAAGTTAAAGAAAAACAATTAAAAAATAAAGTGAAGAGTTTTAATACTGAAAACTTAAGAATTCTAAAATGCAATGATAATAAACCTCCAGTTATTTTTGCAAAAATACCAACAGAAGGTAAAAATACGAATATAGAACCTGTATACAGATATAAAAATGATGAAATTTCAGGACATGATTTTATTAAAAAAAGATGTTATATTTTTGGATGTTCAAGGTTTAAAGGTGTTTAAATTGGTTCAACGATTCAATTTATACAAGTAAAATTAATAGATGCTGTAGTCTATGAAAAAGAAAGTAAAGAAATTACAAAAATATTAGATATAGATGTAACAATTATTTAAGTAAGAACTATTATAAATATAAAGAATGAATATTGAAGTACATAACGATAAATTAAGTATCCCTACAATTTAATTTGGTCCTATTATTGAACTTGATAAAACAAAAAAATATGAAATGGCATTTATAAGATTAGAAACTATTTACTATAGTATTACAACTAAAACAAGATGCTTACATATATTAAATAATATTGTAGACGGAAAAAATATAAATGGTAAGAAAACTACTGTAATGCATACATTTCTACCTATTTCTCGTCCTTCAGGCTTGAGCATTGTTAAACAACCGCAATTTTTAAATTATTTACCATTAAAAACAAACACACTTTCAAAAATGACAGTAGAAATAGTTGATGAGGATCATCATGCTGTAGATTTGAGTTAAGAAAGATTAATAATTAAGATTAATAATTAAGATTAATAAAATTTCAATAAGAGAAGTAAAATAAGATAAAAACTTTCTTGAGTATATAAAAATGGAGGAGATAGTTGATGAAAAAAAATGGATATATGTATTGGAGGAGATAGTTGATGAAAAAAAATGGATATATGTATTGGAGGAGATAGTTGATGAAAAAAAAATGGATATATGTATTGGAGGAGATAGTTGATGAAAAAAAATGGATATATGTATTGGAGGAGATAGTTGATGAAAAAAAATGGATATATGTATTGGAGGAGATAGTTAATGAAAAAAAATGGATATATGTATTGGAGGAGATAGTTGATGAAAAAAAATGGATATATGTATTGGAGGAGATAGTTGATGAAAAAAAAGATTATTAAATGGCATTAGTAAACTTGAAAATATTACTGAAAAAAATAATACTTTCAGTACAAATTTTTTATTAGGTGAAAATTTACCATTAAATAATATTCCAGTATTAGGTTGGCTTCTATAAAATATATATTTACATAAATATATATTTTATTTACTATTTAATAAAGATAAAGGAAAATAACAACAATTAAAACTACTTCTATATTCTCCAGATTCGATGACAAATCTATAACAACAAATTTATGCGGTTTTGACCAAACTATTTTACAAAAATTTTTAAACTCCTATTTTGGCATATCATTTGAAACATGATCATTATAAATATGATTTACATTTTTTGAATCTTGTTTAAACAAGCATACAAAATTTGAATTTTCTCTTATCGTTCTTCTAGTTAGCATAAAATAATTTTGTGCAAAGTAGAAACAATCAACATTACTATGTCTTTCTCTTATATAGCATTTTTCACACTTGTTTTGCTTCGTCAGTTGTAAATCATCAAATATCATTAAATTATTTTTTTTAAGATCAAGATCTTCAGGTTCTGGGACTTCATCTGCTGTTTCAAAAAACTGACACTCCATATCTGTTTTCTCTTTTATTTTTTTTGAAACATCATTAATTAAATATTCTATCATTGCATTTTCTTTTTCAATATCATCTTGCATCAAAAATATATTAAAAACCACTTCTTTTGGTAATTTTTCTTTAAAACATCTTTCTATTATTTAAAATTTTTTTTGAAATAGAGATTTTCCAAAAACTTGTAAATGATTATAGTCTAACCACCCAGGTCTTATAAGTAAGTTAAACAATAGATTTGTCTTTCCACAACCTGACTTTCCTACAATAAGATCTCTTATACTTCTTGGTAATAACTCATTATTATTACAATTATTTTTATTTAGATTATATGATAAATCTACTACTTCCATTTTTTATATAAAAAATTTTTTTATATTAAAATGTAATAAAAAAAATAAAAATAGTTATAAAAATGTATTGATTAAATGTAGAAACAAAACAGATACACTAAACTTACAAAATGTTGTAAGTAGAAACAATAGAAATATGCTACGTGGAACTTGTGCTATTTGTGGCACAACAAAAACTCAATTTACAAAAAGATCAGCAAAAAGATCTGTAGGATCAAAAACAGGAGGTGATTTAGCCAATTCACTAAACTCAGTAACAAGTAAAATAAAATTACCATGGGCAAAGTTCCCAGGTGAAATGCATTTACCTGGTATGAATTTTGCAGGACCTGGAACTAATTTAAATGAAAGATTAACTTCTACTGATGCACCTAAAGAATGGAGTAAGCCTGTAGCCTAAAGAATGGAGTAAGCCTGTAGCCTAAAGAATGGAGTAAGCCTGTAGATAGAGTTGATCAGCTTGTAGTCATGATCTTGCTTATAAACATTTTACTCCAAGTAGAAATATAGCTGATAAAATGATGATTGAACTAATGAATGCTATAAAAAACCCTACAACGCATGAAAGAATTGAACAAAGTATTATAAAACCCATTATATCAACTAAAGCAAAGTTTGGTATGAGTGTTAAAAAGTCAAAAAACTACCAGCGATCAGTAAAAAAGCAAAAAACATAGATCTAAAATGGACTGATGAACTTGCAAACGAACTTCATCGACCCGTTGTAAAACATTTCAGAAAAAGAAAAATAATTGTAAATGGAATCGATGGCATATGGGCTGTTGATTTAGTTGACATGCAAGTTTTTTCTAAATTCAATGATGACATAAAACACTTATTGATGGTGGTAGATGTATTTTCAAAGTATGGATGGATCGTTCGATTGAAGACTAAAACTTGAGTTGAAGTTGCTCATGCTTTAACTAAAATATTTAAAGATAGAAAGTGTACGAAATTGTAGGTAGATAAAGGCTTAGAATTTTATAACAAGCATGTTAAAGCATTAGGTATGCAGTTGTATTCTATTAAAAATGAAGAGAAAATTTGTGTAGTTGAACGTTGGAATAGGACGATGAAAGAGAAAATGTTCAAGTACTTTTCTGCTAACTCTACAAAAAATACATTAATGTTTTAAATGAAATAGTAAGTAAATACAACAAGACAAGACACTCTTCAATTAAATTGACACTATTTGAAGCTAGCAATAAAAATAATGAGAATATGGTTTGGCTTAATTTAAATGGCAAAGTGAGATCATATCCTGTTCAACCAAAGTTTTCAATAGGTGATAAAGTTAGAATAACTAAAAAGAAAGGAGCGTTTGAAAAACGGTACACACCAAGATGGATTAAAGAAGTATTTACTATATCACAAACTCAATTCACAAATCCACCAACATATAAAATAGCTGATCATAATAATGAAGAGATGCAGGGCACTTTTTATGAACAAGAACTGCAAAAAACGAATCAAGAGATATTTAGGGTTGAAAAAATTATTCGTAAAAGTAGAAACAAGTCGTTAGTAAAGTGGTATGGGTATCCTGAGACTTTTAACTCATGGGTTGATAATAAAGACTTGATGCAACTGAACTAGTATAAAGTAATTCTATGCCACATATGACAAAGATTTAGATTTTAGTTGAACATTGAACTAAAATTGATTTAAAATATAATCTATTAAAATATTTCATAGATTATAGATGAGCTAGAAACTATGGTTATGATGAACCATAATTAAAAAATTGTGTTTTTTTATGACAATGCGTGAATTTTATGACGTGAATTTTATGACAATGCGTGAATTTTATGTCGTGAATTTTATGACAATGCGTGAATTTTATGACAATGAACCAGAAATTATGCTTATTATACACTTAGAAAATTCAAAAAATTATGGATAAAAATATGGTTGAAAAAAATGAGCCAGAAACGGCAATTCTCTACTACTCACACAAAAATCGTTGTTTGATTTGCTAGCAATTAGTTCTCTTTCATAGAGGAGAAGAAGAATAAAAAAGTTTATCTGCTCAGTGTAAGATGTATCGAGGGTATTTTTGACTATAATGTTGAAGTAGATACCATCTTGTAGTAGATACCATCTTGTCTACCATTTTTCTACCATCTTAAATTTCTTCGACAGCTGCATTTCGGATGACATCACATTCTCTGATGAACTCATTTTGAGAGAAGGGGGAGAGGAAATGGACACACATTCTAGAACCCTTTTTGTTGATGACGTTTTACAACTTCCAGGTGGAATGAATGACGGAGTTGTGGCGACCAATTAGCTCCATATCGACAAAAAATTTCATTTCCTTTCTCATTCACGTGTGTTGTTTCACCTGCAAGCATAATTGTATATAATAATTATAATTAAATTATTACAATAAATATATAAATAATTAATATAAAATTGATATTGAGAGAGCCTTATGATAAATTACCTAAAAAAGCTAAATTTCTATAAGCAAAGAAAAGAGTACATCCAAAGTTCACGAAGAATTGTCCTCTATTTAACTGTCTCAAAATTGATTTGCTTCTGAAGCTCTGAATCTATACCAGTGAAGCTGGTAAACGAACTTATGTCTCTTTCCAATCAATATAGAACTTTTAGGCTGGATTGATGCTACTTTACAAGACCAATGAGTTTCCTTCATTGATCCCTGACATCTCCGTTCCAGCATAAAAGGGACAATTCCTTGCTTTTAAATACTGCTTTTGAACACAAAAGAGAGCAAGGAAAATAGTAGAGAGCCTTAGGGTCAAGCTCCAAACCAAAAAGGCTCTTTCTGTATTTTCTTTATTGGTCAAAGACTGATAAAACACATTCAAAGTAAAGATTCTCTTCCTAGACTCACGGGGATAATCTCGTTGTTTTAAAGTATGTGAAGTAGGTTTCTTTAAAATGATTGTATCTCAATCTTTAAAATGATTATATCTCAATCAAAAGCCACAAAGATGCGTCAGCATTAATTATTACCAAGTTAGGTTTAGCATAACATCCTCTTGTGTTGGATAAATTTTCTACTTCTAATTCTAATGAGTCAATTTGAAGTTTATTTAACTTAGCTTCAGGGGAATTATTTGAGGCCCCAGATCTACAGTTCTTCGAACCACACATTTTGAGTTCAGCAGGTTATCTATAAAATCATGCTAATTTCAAATAATAGAACTCGAGTAATTTGTAAATTGCCTTAACTAGACCAAGTAGTAGAATAAATTAAAAATCTTTTTTTGTTGTGGTCAAATTTCAACATTTTTACCCCGTAGACTATATTTTATGACCGTTATAGGTCATTTTATCTACTATAGATCTATGTAGCTATAGACCGTTATATGATCTCTATGTAGCAATAGACCGTTACAGGTCCGTAGCTACATAGAGAAATTCATCGTGGTATACGAACATGTTTTTTATTCGCAGTGTAAAAAGTTCAAAACTTTAAGTTAAAAATAAAAAATAATAATGAAGAACATTGAAAAAATGATTTCAACTAAACTTGAAGAACACAAAAAAGCATACTTAAAGAAACAGAACGATTATTAAAGAAGCAGGAAAAAACATTTACTTCCATAATAAGTGCAAATCTTAAAATTATTACTGATAGATTAGAAAGATAATAACAATAATAAATGGAAAATATCAAATATGGAAAAAGATATCAATGACATTAAAGAAAGTCTTAATTTTTAAGAAGATAAAATATTATAAAAATTATCACATATAAAAAAATACTATAATTATGAAGTAAATATATTAAACAAAAAAAAAGTAGAGTTGAAAAATCGATCAAGACGAAATAACTTAAGAATAAATGTTCAAGTTGATACAATTTTGTTCTGACTTGTTCTGCACTTGATACAATTTAACATTTCAGTAAAAAAAATTGTTAATGTATACTCAGTGTTAGTGGCCTTCGGGTCCTTCTGTTATTTTCAAAAATAAATAATTTAATGTCTTCATTATGCAATGGCCAGTTCCTCTAAGATGCTTTACTGCATTGAGAATTTTATTTTTATCTTGGAAATTTAAAAGTTTTAGAACGATTGTTCTCGGTTTGTTATGATTGTGTTGACCGATACGATGAGCTCGTTCAATCACCACTTCACTTGTTGTTTTAAGTTGTTTTTTAAACTTTTACCGCTTTTTCGCAATCATCACAATTTTTTCCAGGTGTTTTCTCCAAGTCTTGTGAATCATGTTATTTAGGTGGTGCACGAGACACCACCTAAATAACATGATTCACAAGACTTGATTAATCATTGCAGTGAGCAACAACATGAACTGTACAAGAATCTGTTTTTTCGTCTGTAATTTTTAAGTCGCTGCAGGTGAAGAAATCGCTTAATTGTTGACCTAGTCTTAGAAAATTCATGTAGAAATTTCGCTCTACCATCTTGCTGCTTGATGTTTTGTTTACAGTTTTAACAAGTTTCTTTAATCCGTTGTTAGACAGGCCCGTATTTAATTGCACATTTACAAGGGCTACAGTGGTCAATTTCGGAGCACTTGATGGTGTCTGCGCACTACTTTGACCTAAAACCAAAACATGCATATTTTATAGTTACAATAAACTTTGTTTATTAGGCTTGTGTAAAACTTTCAAATAATTCGTTTTTAAAGAAATTAGAAACTTGTCAAAAATATACTTCTTGAAATCTATCTAGTGTTATTTCTTAACAGTCAACACTTTATATCAATATATATGTTAAAATTAAGTATAAATGTTTACCAGGGGTAACTGTAAGTGGAGGCCCGCCGGATGCTTTAGCCAGTAGAATAGTTCCTTCCGGAGATAATTCTTTATTGAAAATAATTTGTTTGGATGATTTGGTATCTTTTGCTGCTAAAGATTGAATATTTTCCCTTATTATTATTTGAGAGCATTGGTGGGGCAAACCTTTTCCTAAAGGGCTGAGGCATTTGCTGCAACGCACCTTTGGTTTTTTCTCAATAAGGTTTGCTCTATAAGAAGATGTTTTTCATGCAGCTTTGAACGACCAATTTGGCATGTTAGGCAACAACACATCGTGCCTCTTGTTTCAGGTCTCACTTGTATTGACTTAAAATGAAACAAAGGAGGGAGTGCAACTTCTTTTCCCTCTTGTTTCCGGCGCAAAGTAATTCTACACGATTCGCAGAATCCTTTTGGTACCCGAGTATCACTGATATTGATCTTGGTCTTGTACAGCTGGCATATTCGATCTGCTTGAAAAGTAGTAAGCTGTCTTAAACATTATTTCACACAGAGCAAGCACACAAACTTTTGATTTTCATAATGATTCTTTGCTTAATTTGGCATCGTGGCAATTCACGAAATCAAACTCTGTCTTTTACAAAATTTGGCATAAATTTATATTTGATAACAATCCACTTAACATAGTAACACATATTCTCAATTAAAAACTATTAAAATAAAGGAAATATTTACTTGATTTAATTAAGGTAATATTAAATTACAAGGAAATAATTCTTGAATAGTTCTTTCCTTACCAGGAAACAATTGTTTAAACTATTTATGTAAGGAAATTACAATATTGATATTTGTCGCACTTTTTAAACTAATGATACGTGTCACACGGGTTGTTTTATTTCAAAACAACCCTTCAACCGAATTAGTTATTTAGTTAGAGTAATTTTCCTCCGACTGGCCCTCCAAACTTTGTATTGGTCAGATATCTTAGTTAACTAATCTAAATTTTTTAAGTCAATTATCTTTGTCAATATAAAAAATATTTTGTTTTTTCACAGTTGCTCTGTTTTCAGATAAATAAATATTTTTATTTTCTATGTAGGTATCCCTAGAAATCCTTCTTAACCGTTTTTTTAGAACTTTTTTGCATTCTGTCAGTAGTTTATACCTTAGGAAATGTTGGTATTACATAGTTTATACCTTAACAAAAATTGTTGGTATTACATAGTAGAACACTCATGTAACCGTTATTTTAAAAATGGTGACCGAATTTCAAAGAAATCGGTAACGCTTTGAGGTATAAGTAGCAAAAACTGCAATAAATCATACACCAGTCATCCAATCAGGCTGAAATTTTCTCCAGAGTTTGGTGTGACTATTGGCTACATTTGCACCAATTTTTATCAAATTATATTGAGTGGTTCAAATTCTACAAGTGTTTTTATATTTCCGTATAAGTGGTGTTCTTGGGACAGCTAGGTAGGCATTATAAGGATCCGTGCTAACCGTGTTAAGACATAAACAACTTTATGAACGTATATTAAAACTAATAATTAAAAAAATAATAATAATAAATTAAAAAAAAAAAATTAACTTCAAAGCAAAGTATATATTAGATTTTATTTATATTTCGTACATGTCTGTCAATATATTAAGTATAACAAGCCATGTAATTATATATTTATGTGCATCAAATACAGCTCTTTTCTCTTTTTGATTATCTAATAGCTTTTTATATGTGACTCTAATGCTACTAAAGTACGTTACATTGTTAATATGTGACTCTAATGCTACTAAAGTACGTTACATTGTTAATATGTGACTCTAATGCCACTTCGACTTTGCTAAACTGAAGTTTTTTAATAAATTATTTTTAAACAAAAATATCGCAACTAAAAAC